GGTCGAGATCTCCTAGAAATTATCATGACAACTACGACAGAGGATTACCGAGAAGTTGTGTTCATCCAGGTAGTTGCGAGAACGAAGTCAAACATTGCTTATACCCGTTTTATGATAACTCTTGCATTTAAGGGCATTTGGTGTAAGCTTATGTTAGGGATTCAACAAAACGGATTTGTTCGTCAGATTTAGCATTCGCAGTAGAGTACCACTTGATTTTAACAAATGCATTGAGCTCACTTAGAACGAAGTTGGAAGTTGGGTTGGAATTAGTCTGATGATAATGCCAAGAAAGAAGTCATTTTTGGCTCTGAAACATGAGCCAGACCTGAAATTCCTATGGACGTCAACCTTGTTCGAGTCACGCTTGCTCCAGTGATCATTTCACACTGTCAATAACGCAGAATTTGTCCAGCATTTAGGAACATCTCTTCATCGCACAAACATCATTTTGGCTCACTCCACCGACCAGTAGGCTCGTCATGCAGATTGTAGATGTCCTGAATTTTTAGCGATTTAGACGCTGCTGTACTTCCCATCATGTATCGAATGCATAGTCGAAGGGAAAATTGCCGGTACCTGTTTGCTGAGTCGTCGGCTCATGGTTATCGGGCTTGCAACCATATCAAATCCAAGAGGGAAGCCGAGGCGACCAACTCAGACTCTACTTGTCCAGCCAAATAGTTATCACACCACGATTTGTGATACACTGTTTAAGTAACCGAGTCTGCCAGCGTGTTTACAACTCGAAATAGTGAACCAATGTACTCATGCAGTATACTCAGTAAACTCATGTTATTTCACAAATTCTGCCAACCATGCACACGGAAAGGCCTCACTGTTTACTTCAGCTTCGCATCATCTCTACCCCTAAAGTCAGGAAGTTCGAGCCAAAGCAAAATGGCAGAGTATTTGCTTTTTTTAATCCAGAGATTTCAAAAAATACATTCATCTCTTTCTGGATTCGTCTAACTCCATTACTCCAAATAAAAGCTATCGGTATTATCTACTATTCGTTCTTTTTTTCTTATTTCTTTACAGATTTTTTCATCTCTTTCTCTTTATTCGACCCTTCAGTTTGCTTACGGCTTCAGAAAAGTCATCTAGTGCAACAAAAATAAAAAATTACTACCAATAACATCAAACATTATTACTAGTTAATAATTTATCGATCATTACTTAATAATGCTTTTACACGAAAATGGTTTGCCCTAAAGCCCCGTGAGTTAAATAAACATCTGAAGATGTGGCTGTTAAAACAGACAGGAAGGTGCCTTGTTATGCCTGGACCAGAAAGGATAAGTCAGCCGAAAAACGCAAAGCTGCACTGCTGGAGAGCAATTTAGGCAGCCCAAGATGCAATGGAAAGATAGCTTTCTTCTTCGTTTATTTTAAACTAAAAGTTTTTCTTGAGCCAAGATGAACTATAATTTCCCTCTAATCTTGCCCTGGTGAGATTTGAGGCCAGACCATACACATGTTTCTGGATACGGTCAAATCCGACATCACACAGGTCCCGGCGAAATAGAGAAACACATGCAGAGTCCTCCTCACCTTCTTGGCGGCATGTGAACTACTCTAAGCGACAGTAGGAGTAGCAGAAGCCTATAAAATGGGCGCTTGTATCTGTTTTTTAGACTTGTCTATTATATCGTCGATATGAAGAGCAAGATGGTGTGGCCTTCCGTTTGGTCGCAATCTCCTTTTTCTTTATAGTATTGGTTCTATTATAATTTAGTATAATTATTTACTATCCATTATACTTTGCTAGTCTTGACATTCAACCTATAGCAAACTCGTCAAATATACTAATAGGCGACTTTGGCTTTTAGCCTTCTACATTTACAATAGTATTGCATATTTTCTCCATAGCGTAACTCCCGAAATCCCACCCACCTGCAGTATCAAATATGACCACTATTTCCTCAACCTTTGTCTGCCCACTCCCTTTTTCTTTGCCTCTTTCACTATTCCCTCTCCTCGACTCATGCAGCCTGAATATGGCATTCAGACGTGGCCGTTGTGTCTGCGAAGCGTCGTTGTTGAGCAGCAGCCGGCAACTCTAATCCATGAAGTAGAAGAGAATTCCCACTCCAACGGGTGATTCACATCCCTTTTTTGTATTTAATATCTTGACTGTTTAGCAGTAGCCTTCAACCGCAGAAATCTGCTAAAACCGCTCAAAGTGATTGTCAATTAAAGGCGTACTAGTTTCTAATATTTTTCGAATTAAGTATTGTTGTCGTGACTACCAGTAAAACAGTAATATGTGATGTATTCACCGAATTTCGTTTAAGGTAGTGAAGGACTGGTAAAAGAAGAATTTTTTCAGAATGATATGAGTTGAGCTGACGTTTCCATTCAATTTCACATAGCCTTGCTTTCACAAAAGTTGTTCTTATCCAGACACCAGGGGACTGCAGTTTCGACCTCGCATCGGTCTTATCAACACCCTCAGCGGCAGTCGAACTGTGACAGTGCAACATGTGAACTCAAAACTCTACTGCCAGTCCTTCATCACTTTAAACGAAATTGGGTGAATACATCTCATATTAGTTTCTAATAGATGTCCTGTTTTCAAGGCTGTCTATGATGAATTCCATGTCTTTCTTGATTTTTGCTCTGAAAATTCACATTCTCATATATTGCCCTTGGAGATTCCAACCGCTGACGTGCGGGACACGAGGCAAACATGTTGCTGTCCAAGCCAAGCTCTCCAACCTCCTTTTGCATTCAAGGTAAAATTAACTTTGCTTACAATTGACTTACTTTTGTGAGGGATCTGTATCTTCAGGTAAGCCTGATACGACATTGACTTTGATATTAATTGAGAGAAGTAATTGCTTTTTGTCCTGAAAGTCATGGATTTCGTGTAATCCTATGAAGTAAGTGTTAACCGGACAATCTCTAAATTTGCATGTTCTCGCACAAGGCGAGAACGAAATCACTGTCAACCTTGAGTACATGATGATGTAAAACTCGATTCACAAATTACGACTTCTCCTAACCTCAAAGGGACTAGTGACTAAAAGTCCAATACAGAAGCAGTTAGACTAAATGGTGGGTGTTTGGTCGCAATCTCCTTAAACTTTATAGTGTTGGTTCAGCCTCATTTTCGCAACTTGGTCGGAGCATTGGGGAGGCCTTGTGGAAGGTACCCAGTCCCGTATCCTTTGCCGGAGTATTCGTGATTTCAGGCATTAACAGGGTACATTCCCAAACGTTTCTCCGGCATAGCAGTCGGCATCGTCTCAAAGTTACAACTTTATCCACTTGACTAATTTTCTGTTCAACTTTTTGTGGCCTCGCTCCACCCCCCCCTTTTTTGTTCTACCTTCTGGTACCGCATCTCTTTCTCTCAACCCCACCTCATATGGCCCATCCACTTATTAAGACAATCCTGTGCTCTCATTCCCTCCAATGTCCCCCAAGAGTGTGTCGCTACAAGTGGGTTTAGTGAAGCGTAATCATCTCCACCACCGGTACCAGATGCCGTTTGCAGGG